TAAAACTGCAGGGGTTGTGCTGAGTGACCTCTAAGCTCTTCTGAGAGTGGTAAGAGCTTTGCTTTCTCTCCATCTTGACCCCTTATCTCATCCTGCATTGCTGTCACTTCTGTGGACTTCAGTCCCTCCCACCAGGCTGTTTGTCCTATAGGGGCAGGGGCCATGTGTGGCTCACTCACATGGCTCCAGGCTCTGCCTGATGCAGGAGGCTCCGGACAAATGCTCAAAGAGGGCAGTGTGGGGTAGAGTGACCTGCCACCCCTACTGATTCTGTGACCCTGGACATGTTATTTAACCTCAAGTCTCGATTTTTCTCAGCTGCAAAATGGGCAGCAACATCATGTAAGGGTGTGAGTCTCTGTCTACAGATTCATTTTGCAGGAAATGCTACTTTGTTTTTCTGTAATTTAACATTTGTAATTTGAAGTCGTATTCTGCCAGGTGGTAGAGATCACTGCAAGTCAAATGAGTGTCCCCCTGACCTTTGGTAGTGGGGTCGCATCTCAGGTCCAGTGGGCTTACACAGTGCCGAGGCAAAGAACAGGGCACCCAGGTCTCCACTGACATGACTCTGTGCACCCTGCGTGGCAGAAGAGCCAACATCGTCAGTCAATACGTGCGTCAGAAAGGCCCAGTGACCTAAACAAGATGGGCAATGCTTTCCTCCCTTCCCCAGGAAAGAATCTCTGCAGTGGGCAGTCCTGGGTTAATAAGGCCGCGCAAAGCTGTCTTTCTGTAAGAGCTCTGCCTCCTGGATCTGCGATGGCTACACTCTCAAGCCTGCAATCCCGCAGGCGGGAGGGGAAATGAGAGGAGAACAGTGCCTGTATTTCCTAAGGGGCTGCGCAGGGTATGCCCGCTCACATAGCATTGGCCAGAGCATAGGCACATGACCACATATAGCTGCAAAGGAGCCTGGGAAATGCAGTCTTAGAAGACATAAATTCCACTTAATATCAGGGTTCCGGCCGGGCGCTGTGGCTCAGGCCTGTAATGTCAGCATTTTGGAAGTCTGAGACAGGAGGACTGCTTGAGCCCAGGAGTTGAGATTAGCCTAGACAACATGGTGAAACCACTTCTCTGCAGAAAATACACAAATTAGCTGGCCATGGTGTGGTGCACGCCTGTAGTCCCAGCTACTTGGGAGGCTGAGGAGGGAGGATTGCTTGAACCCAGTTGGTCCAGGCTGCAGTGAGCCAAGGTCGCACCAGTACCACTGCACTCCAGCCTGGGGGACAGAGGAAGACCTTGTCTCAAAAAATAACATAAAAATCAGGGTTCCTCTACAGAAGATGAGGGGAGAGTGGACATAGGGGATGACTAACAGTGCTCAGAGCCACCAGTCTCCGCTGTTCTTGGAACCCAGGTCCCATGTCTTCAGAATTTGTCACCTTCCCGTGCTCAGGACCTCAGCTTGAGGATGGGACAGGGCTTGGGAGGACAGCTAGTGGAGAAGGGGAAGAAATAATGTAGGACTCCTCCTTCCCCAAGACACAGTAGAGGCTAAACTATTTTGTTCTTCATGTGTTTTTGGGATGAACTATTTCAAACTTACAGTCAAGAATTTAAAATAATATAATGAACATTTTCGTGCCACTCTCCTGAATTCAGTGTTTGTTAGTCTTGTGGCTTCTGAATACATATTTATGAGTCATAAACACTACAAAATATTGCTTTGCAGGTACTTGAACTTTATATAAATGGCTCTTACTATATGATTCATTGTGCATCTTGCTTTTTTCCTCTCAACACCATCTCTGAGATATGTCCACAATGATAGCTGTAGCTACGTCAGTCATTTATCATGGCTGGGTTGCGTACGTGGTATCTGGCTGTGGTGTACGGCTATACCACAATGTATTTATCTATTACTTTGGCAGAGGGTTAGCTTTTTGCAGTTGCTTGCTATTAAATAATGCTGCAATAAATATTTTTGTCTCCGTGTACACATATGCAAAGGTTTCTCTAGGTCAGTGGTTCTGAGAGCATGGTCCCTGGACATTAGCATCACCTGGGAACCTGTTAGAAATACAGATTCTCAGACCTATTGAATCAGATGTGTCAGGGATGGAACTCAGGGACCTATACTCCAACAAGCTCACTAGGAACTGCTGTCATGCGGCAGAGTTTGAGAACTGCTTCTCTAGGGTATATAACAGAAACTAAATTATTACATCTAGAAAAGGGACATCAGGCCAGGCATGGTGGCTCACGCCTATAATCCCAACATTTTGGAACCCTGAGGCAGGAAGATCACTTGAGGCCAGAGTTCAAGACCAGCCTGGGAAAGAGAGAGAGACTCTCTCCACATAAAATTTTAAAAATTATCTGCGTGTGGTGACATGTGCCTGTAGTCCCAGCTACTCAGGAGGCTGAGGCAGAAGGATTGCTTGAGCCCAGGAGTTTGAGGCTGCAGTTAACCAGGATGATGCCACTGCACTGGAGCCTGGGCGACAGAGCAAGACCCTGTCTTAAAAAAGAAAAAAAAAAACTTTTTAACACACAAAGAATACAGACATCTTCACATTCTTTAGATACTGCTAGATTTTTCCCCAAAGTTTACACTCTTATCTAAGCTGAATGTTTCCTGTCATTCTTGCCAGCTCTTGGTAGAATCAGAATCTGAATCTTTTGCTGAGTGAAAAGTCTGGACTCTGCTAAATTTTCAGTGGATGTTCTTATCTCTCTGTCTCTGGGAGTCCCTCTTACAACATCACACTTGCTCTCTGCCCTCAGGTACCTGCCAGGTATACAGCTCCAGAAGCACAAAAATCTTTATTCTGCTCTCCTGTTGTAGTTTCTCATACCAGAGCAAGAAAATTGAGGGCATTGCCAACTTTGCCTGGGAACAGGGTCCCAGGATACACATTAGTTACGGTGAACCTCCATATGACCCTGGATCAATTAGGCTCCTGAGTTGTAAGCAACAGAAATCAGGTTATCAGCAGGATGTGGGGCCTCACCATATCCTAGAAGTGAAAGATGAGGTTTGGGGAATTACAATACTCCTCTGAGAGCTGGAGCAGGGAGGAAGGAACAGAGGGACTGACGGATGGAAGGGAGAGAGAAAGGCCTCAGCCAGGGCTGGGCAGAGAGCCCACCCTACCTTCACCTGAACCCCATTCCTGTGTGACCCACACTCTTTTATCCCACTCTCAGGACTGGAGTCACCAGAGTGTGTATCTGGCCAGGCTTTCATTATGTCTCCCCCGCTGCCAACTTAAAGAAGGGCCAGACCTGTTTTGGTTTCTGTTCCAGGGGGAAGGTGCCAGGATACATTCCTCATCAGGACCTTGCAGAATGGGGAATTCTTCTTAAAAAAAAAAAAAAGATGGGGCACCAATAGCAAGAGGGGAGCATCTGGGAGGTGGAGAGCCAAGAATGTGTCCTGCTGGGTGGTCTTCGGGCTCAGGTGAATCAAGGTGTGTAATGGGATTATTAACCAGTCTGACCCTAATGACATAAAAACATGATACCATTTACTGTTTCCCCAATTGCCACCTCTCAAAAGCTACCCTGTCCTTTCCTGTCACTTAATGACACCTGGTCACTTTCTGACTATCCCCCACCTCCTATTCACAGTGGTCTCCCTTGCTGCCTCTTACTGCTGGGCACCTCCCAGCCCCCAGCCTTCTTGTGCCAGGCAGCAGTAATACCACCTAAGCCTGGCTGCTCCCGAGGAACCCCTTGCCACTGAGAACCCCCTCACGCATGCTGGGAAGGATGAGTGGGATCTTCTACCATACTCTCCCCCTCAGCTCTGCCCTTCTGTCTCCTGGTCTCCTTTCTCTGCTCAAAGAGGAATGAGAAGGGGGCAGATTCGCAGGGCTGTGGACATGAGTTTATGTCAAGCAGGGCATGAGATGCTGGCACCTTTTTGTAGGCACCCCCTGTCTTTTTGAGTTTCCCTGACATCTGCTCACCTGCTTTGGAGGGTTGGGAACACAGAAGAAGTCACAGCACAATGACTCACTTCCCTAGGCTGTCAATTTCTTTTTCTTTTCTTTTTTTGTTTACACATGGCTTCAATCTGTCGCTCAGACTGGAGTACAGTGGCATAAACACAGCTCACTGCAGCCTTCCCAGCTCAAGTGATCCTCCCACCTTAGCCTTCCAAGTTGCTGGGACTACAGGTGTGTGCCACTATGCCCGGCTAATTTTTGTATTTTTTTGTGGAGACAGGGTCTCACCATATTGCTCAGACTGGTCTCAAACTTCTGGACTCAAGCAATCCTGCCATCTTGGCCTCCCAAAGTGCTGGGATTATGGGCATGAGCCACTGTGTCTGGCTGACAATTCCTAACTCCCATGAGTCCCTCCTTGCAAGTGTTTAGCTTAATCAGGGTCCTGAGGTGATGGTCAGGGTAACAGAGACTTCCTGTGAGTCTGGAAAAGGCTCGCTTAAGATTCTAGAGCAACTTCCATCTCTTTTTCCCCAGCATTGGGTCCTGGATGCCAATTCTGGGGTAATGAAAATTTTTCTACTTAAACAAATTTCTCCCCTTGCTATTCCTGATGATGGTGGGAACCCTTGCTGATGGTGACGATGAGAAATGGGTATTGTTGAGTATTGTTCGGGAACCCAGCGGGAGGGTGAGGGTCTCACCCCAGCCCACACACACACTCAAAAATACACACTACTTTGGTAAAGATTAAGTTTGCTTGTGAGTAATGGAAAACTGCAAACAACAGTTATTTAAGTAAAATAAATGTTGATTTCTCTCTCATGTCACAGTCTACACAGGCAGGCTAGGACTGGTAAAGCAGTTCTGCCTTCCTCAGGGACCCTGGTGCTTTTTTTTAACCTTACATCTGATTGGCTAGATTCTGGTCACATGACCATATCTGGTTGGAATGGAAGCTGGGAAATGTAGTCTTTTGTTTGGGTGGCCATATGTGCCCAGTTACTATCCTAATGACACCGTCTCAGCTGCTCACACATAATGTTTGATCATCTCTCCCTCCCTTTCCTTCTCCTTCTGCCCTGGTCTGGCGGGCAGTGGGCACTGGCCTGGGGGGCAACTGCACAGGCTGTATCATTTGCTCAGAGGAGAACGGCTGTTCCACCTGCCAGCAGAGGCTCTTCCTGTTCATCCGCCGGGAAGGCATCCGTCAGTACGGCAAGTGCCTGCACGACTGTCCCCCTGGCTACTTCGGCATCCGCGGCCAGGAGGTCAACAGGTGCAAAAGTACGTGGCTCCTCCCTTGTTCTAGGCTAGTGCTGGGCTCCTAGACATGCGGGCTCAGATCCCACCCTCTCACCCCACCACAGCCAGAGGGGAAGTACATGCATGCCTAAGCCCAGACTCAGATACCTCCTGAGTCCAGGCTGGCTCTGCAGCCTGAGGCAAGTCAGTCCCCTCTCAGACTTAATCGGCACTAATAGAGCAGAGAACTTTCACTTCTACCCTAGTTTGTGGTGGGGCCTTAGGCATGTAACTCACCTTCTCTGGTCCTAGGTCAAATAGGAAAAGGAGTCCTAATTCCAAACTCTAATTTTTGCCATAACTTTGGACAAGTCATCACTATTTCTGAGGTGGAAAAGAAGCAGGGAGTCCTCACTTCAGCCCAGATTTGCAGGTGACTTCAAGCAAGTCACTTGCTCTCTCCAAGCCTCCCTTCAAATGAGAAAGGGAGTTCTCTTCACATGCAGCCCAGTTTGACCTTGGCCAAGTCTTGGGAGACACTGAGTCCTGACCCAAATGCTACTGAGCCTGGAGCTACCCAGAGGCTCTCCCACCTCGGGCAGACCCAGTGGGCCCCGTCCTTGGCAGTCTTCCTCACCTGGGGTGTCCCTGGCTCTGTTACAGAATGTGGGGCCACTTGTGAGAGCTGCTTCAGCCAGGACTTCTGCATCCGGTGCAAGAGGCAGTTTTACTTGTACAAGGGGAAGTGTCTGCCCACCTGCCCGCCAGGCACTTTGGCCCACCAGAACACACGGGAGTGCCAGGGTGAGTGGGGACCTCCCCGCCCCGCCCCTGCCCCTCCCTCCCTGGAGTGGGGGCTTGATGAGGGGTGTCAGGAGGTCTGGAAGAAATCACAGTAGAATGCCATGTGGTGGTGGGAGGCCCAGCAGCAGCACGTCAAGTACACCAGGTACCTACACATATTAACCGCGATACACCAGAGCCAACATAACCACCGTTACTGTGATTAATACTCCAGCCAACACTGGCATCGTTACTGTGGCCAAGGGAATCAGCAGAGGGCAGAGGAAGAGCACTGATTTTGTTTTGTTTTGTTTGAGATAGGGTCTTGCTCTGTCACCTGGCTGGAGTGCAATGGTGTGATCATAGCTCACTGCGGTCTCAAACTCCTAAGCTTAGGGATCCCCCTGCCTCAGCCTCCTGAGTAACTGGGATCATAGTCATGTACCACAACAGCTGGCTATTTTTTTATGTTTTTGTACAGACAGGCTCTTGCACTGTTGCCCAGGCTGCCCCTGGGCTCAAGCAATCCTCCCACCTCAGCCTCTCAAAGCACTGGGAGTGGAGGTGTGAGCCACCACACCTGGCTGAGCACTGATTTTGGAATAGGACAGGCCTGGGGTCCATCCTAGCTCTAAACCTTACCCTTTGGTGATCTTAAGCAAACGACCTCAGCCCTTTGTCCTTCAGTTTCTCCAAAAGTTTTCTTTAAAAAAAAGGAGCATAGAACATAAAGCCTACCTCATGGGGAGAAACTGTTATGAGGATTAAGTGAATTAGTTCAATTTAAAGTGCTCAGTACAGCAACCAGCACACAGTAGATGCTCAGTACATGTCAGTATCAGTGTTATTACTGCTATGATTATTTTCTGACAGCTCCTTGTCATACACTTGCCTGTGATCCCTCTTTCGTTCCTGCATGAGACTGTTCTTTGGCATTCTCATCTGAACTGTGCATCTCTGCCCATGCATTCCCTCTGGGCTCATTTATGCTCATTCCAGCTGCTGATGGCCCCTGACTTACTGTCTGCAGCCTCCCTGAGCAGCAGACGTCACCTCCACTGTCCTCTGGGTGCCTCCTTTCCACTCCCACTGCCACCATCCTCCTCCTGACGCTTCCTCTGGGTTTTCTCTGGGTTTCAATAACCAGCTCCATGACCTCTGGGTGGTCATGCCCTAGATGCACGCATCACTGTTGTCTCTTCTCTCTCCCTGACCTTATACCCAATCCAATCTGTTCACTTACTCACTCCGAAAGTATCTACTGGAGCATCTGCTATGGCCAGGCACTTTCCTAGGTGCTGGGGACAGGTTAGAGAACAAAACGAAGTCTCTGCACTCATGGACATGACATTTCAGTGGAGAGACAGAAGCGACACCCGGGAACAAATGCACAATATTTTGGGTGACACGAAGAACTTTGGGGGGAAAATGAAGCAGCACAACGCTCCCAAACCCACACCACCGGGCTCATCCCCTTCTCCCCACCCTAGCCCCACCCATTTTTTTCTCTCCTCTGCTCACCCCTCTTCCCGCCTTCTCACCACCCCTTGCCTATCGCCAGGATTCTGGCCACAGCTCCTGCCTGTCTCCTGCCCCGGCTTTCAGTCCCTTCAGCCTACTCTCCACTCAGCAGCAGAGGGAGTATTTCAAAATGACAGTCTTTTCCTCCCAGGAACCTTCAGTGGCTCCCACTGTCCTCGGGCAGAGCCCACCCAGGCCCTGGGCAATCTGTCTCATCTGCCAGCCTTTCCATCCCCATCATTTTTTTCCTCCTCCATTTGAGTTCATTCTCCAGCTTGCCCAATTCTAGGTCAAATCATCCACCCTGCTGGGGTTATTCCCTCACCTGGATCACCTCCTGTCCCTTTCTGAGCCTGGCTGGCCTCCCCCTCCCTGCCATCCCAGCCCCACTCCAAGACCCAGTCCAGGAGTTTCCTGCCCTATGACCAACTCTTGCCACCTCTGAGCTCCCACAGTGCCTGTGCTTCCCTCCTCACAGTGGTGTCCAGATGGTGAATTCCAGGAGCCTGCAGACCCTGGTCTGTCTTATCTGCTGCTGCTCCCTCAGCACCCAGAACAGCGCCTGGCACGCACTGAGGGCTCAGTCTTTACTTGTCAATTGCATCTTGAACTTGCTGTGTCTGTTGTATGAGCCTCTTACTACGTTCCCTTCGCAAACCCCTGCTCTAGGCCTCAGTGTCCAAATCTGCAAAATTGGAGTATTCATAGCTACCTGCATTTTGTGCCTACTTCTCACGGACTTTTTAAATGATCAAAGGCTACACACACACACACACACACACACACAAACACTTACCCCCTATGAAGAACTTTTATGTCCATGGCCTTTTTCTTTCTCACGGCAGTGCTGGGTTTCTTCTGCCTTACAAAGTTGATCAAAGGCACATGATCAAGTTCAAAACCTGTGTCCTGATCCTGAGAGCTTCCCAGGCGACCTCCCAGCCTCCTCTCCTGCCCCACCCCTCCCAAGACTTCACTCCCAGCTCTGGCTGCCCCATCTCCCAAACATGGTGGACCAGTCTCCCTAGGCTTTGCACACTTGCTGGAATGGGCTTCCTTCTTCTCACCTGAGGAGTTCCCCCTCTCTCCCTTTAACTCATACACCACCTCTGGGAAGCCTTCCCCTTTAAAGCTAGACAGTAGGCCACTCTGGCTTCAGGCCTATAGCAGTCTGTGCATGCATTAGTTTAGCTGTCATTCTACGCTCTTATAAATAACTTTTTAAATGCCCCCTCTCTGTTCCTAGCAGTAGACCAAATCCTTTGCAGATAGAAGTGACGTCTTCAGTCTTCAGAGGACTGAATCCCTCAAACCCTGCCCTTGGATCTGAAGGACCCTCACTGCCGGCTGACCCTGTCTGTCTGTCTCTCCTCTCACTCCACAGGGGAATGTGAACTGGGTCCCTGGGGTGGCTGGAGCCCCTGCACACACAACGGAAAGATCTGTGGCTCTGCTTGGGGCCTGGAGACCCGGGTACGAGAGGCTGGCCGGGCTGGGCACGAGGAGACAGCCACCTGCCAGGTGCTGTCGGAGTCAAGGAAATGTCCCATCCAGAGGCCCTGCCCAGGAGGTGAGCCTTAGGACAGGCACGTGAGGCTGTGGGGGGTAAGGGACAGAGTGACCTCAGGACACTGCCCCACAAATAGTACCTGGGAGACTGAAAGGCCGCCAGGAGCCAATCGTCATGCAGAGTACACATCTGCATGTGTGTCCTTTCAAAGGAGGACCTTCCTTGCTGGGTTCAGTCCCAAATACATTAGGAAACTTGAGCTGGCCAGAAGGTCCCAACCCTCTCAGACTGAACACCACCCCCTTTTAATAAGAAGGATTTGGGAATATCCTCCTTACTACTCTTAATGAAGTTCATGGAGAGTGTAGCCTACTTGCAAAGGCAATTTTTTCAAAAGTAATGTTTTAATCAGTATAATTCCCTAACCATAACGTGGGGAGAAAGAAAAGAAATTTCCTGGTGGAAGCGCTTGACCCAACTAAGCAGACACTTAGGGAGGCAGAATCCCAGTGAGGACTGCGGTTGTGGTCAGCACCCCACAAGCGTGGCTGCGTTGCCATGAGATGCAATTCCCAAAAGTGACCAATGATTAATAAAGTCCAACCAAACTGCTCTCTTGATTGGCAGCGCACTCACAGTGCCCTAGAATCTTCAGTGAATGAAAGTGTTCAAAACCGCTTGGCATTCATGGGTAAAACAGAATTCAGCTCCCAGCAAGCACACCTTTCAGCTACGTGAGGGTGGGGCACGATGTGAGGGAACTGGATGGAATGGGGGACCACTGATCTTTGCTGGGGACTGTCCCACACTGCACCCTGATTGCTGTCCACTGAAAGCACAGGATCCCCCTTCATTATGGCTTCCAAGACCAGTATACATATTTCCAAATGCCTCTGGGGGCTGTTAAGAACCACTGATTTACACAGAAGAGAAGCCACAGGGTGTGGTTGGTAAGATGTGAATAGTGAGTAGTAATGACATGGAACCGGTAGTGTTGACTGTGCACACACTATAAGCAGGCAGAGGTGAGGTCAGGGGGGGAGAGGGTGAGGCAGGCCAGGGAGAGGACTCAGTCAAGTGAGCTGGGAGCCCCTGGGGGAGCTTGGGCACAGGCCAGATCTCGTCCCCTCTGCCCCAGTGTGTCACTTAGAAGGGAAAGCACAGGGCTGGACATCAGAAACTCCAGTTTAGGCTGTGCCACTGAACAAGTCACTCCCCTTGCTGGGCCTCAGTCACCTCATCTGAGAAATGAAACTAATTGATGTTTGTGTTAGAAGAAATTCAGCCCAGCGCCACAGGGTCAGGGGCCAGGGTAGGGGAGCGGGGAAGCACATAGGGTTCAAGATTCAGAGTTAGGTTTTGGGTTTGCACCCAGCCCACCCCTGCCATAGAAGAATGGAGGTAGAAGAAATAAAGAAGAAAAAGAAAGAAAAGGTAGACTGGCACAAAGAAATGATAGAAAGGTAGGGAGAAAGAGGGGAAAAATGGAGAAGATGGAACCGGTTGTGGGGCAGACCCTGCCTGCTTCTCCCGCTGTTGTGCATTTCATATACATAAAGCACTCAGGGCTGTGGCCTGCATACAGTGAGCACTCACTAAATGCTCGAGTATTATTGCCCCAGTGTTCTGGAGAAGTGGTGCAGGGACACAGGTGAAAGAAGCCCCATGTCCGGCACAGAGCCTGCTCAGCTGTGGAGCAGGTGTGCCCGGGAAAGCCACGGGGACGCCCAGGAGGCCACCCTGCATGTTGATTGGGGCACCCTCATGTGAACCTGTAGGCCTGGCCAAGCCCAATGCCCCACACTGGAGGGCCCCGAGCAAGGTAGTGGCCCTTGCCACTCCCTGAAGAATTAGAGAGAAAGGCTCAGTTTGGGGTCACTTAGCCCACGGTCCAAATTCTCAACAGGAGGGATTGCAAGGTCAGCACCCAAACATTCTTCTGAGCCCCGTTGCTGGGGAGTGGGTGGGGCACCCTCATCTTTCAGAACTGAGGAGGCTCCCAGGACCTAACCGGCCCTGCAGCCTCGGTCACCGGGCCCTGTGCTCTCGTTGCAGAGAGGAATCCCGGCCAGAAGAAGGGCAGGAGGGACCGGCGCCCCCGCAAGGACAGGAAGCTGGACCGCGGGCTGGACGTGAGGCCGCACCAGCCCGACCTGCAGCCCTGACCACAGCTCTCCCAGCCTCTGGTCCTAGTCGTCGGCCCCTGCACACCTCCTCCTGCTCCTCCTCTTCCTCCTCCTCTTGCCCCTCCTCCTCCTCCTTCTCCTCCTCCTTCTCCTCCTCTGCCCCTCCTCCTCCTCCTGCTCCTCTCGCTCCTCCACCTCCTGCCCCTCCTGCTCCTCCTCCTCCTGCCCCTCCTCCTCCTTCTCCTCCTCTGCTCCTCCTCCTCCTCTTGCCCCTCCTCCTCCTTCTCCTCCTCTGCCCCTCCTCCTCCTGCCCCTCCTCCTCCTGCCCCTCCTCCTCCTGCCCCTCCTCCTCCTCCTGCCCCTCCTCCTCCTGCCCCTCCTCCTCCTTCTCCTCCTGCCCCTCCTCCTCCTCCTGCCCCTCCTTCTCCTCCTCCTCCTGCCCCTCTTCTTCCTCCTCCTCCTCCTCCTCCTGCCCCTCCTCCTCCTCCTGCCCCTCCTTCTCCTCCTCCTCCTGCCCCTCCTTCTCCTCCTCCTCCTGCCCCTCCTCCTCCTCCTCCCCTCCTTCTCCTCCTCCTCCTGCCCCTCCTCCTCCTCCTGCCCCTCCTCCTCCTTCTCCTCCTGCCCCTCCTCCTCCTCCTGCCCCTCCTTCTCCTCCTCCTCCTGCCCCTCTTCTTCCTCCTCCTCCTCCTCCTCCTGCCCCTCCTCCTCCTCCTGCCCCTCCTTCTCCTCCTCCTCCTGCCCCTCCTTCTCCTCCTCCTCCTGCCCCTCCTTCTCCTCCTGCCCCTCCTTCTCCTCCTCCTCCTGCCCCTCCTCCTCCTCCTGCCCCTCCTCCTCCTCCTGCCCCTCCTCCTCCTCCTGCCCCTCCTCCTCCATCTTCTCCATTTGCCCTCTCTTCTCCCCACCCTTCTTTCATTTTTCCTTGTTGGTCTACCTTCCACTTTTCTTTCTTCTTTATTTCCTTTATTTCTTCCACCCCAGTTCTCCTCTCCTTCTCCCTCCCTCCCTCTTCTCGCTTATCTTTTATCTGTCTTTTTCATTCTTCCTGTGTTTCTTCCTGTCCTTCACTGCCTCCTTCTCTCTCCCTCCTCTTCTCTCCTCTCTCTCACACACACTTAAAGAGACACCATGAGCCTGGGTCCTCCCCTGCAGCTCTCTCTCTCTCTACTCCTTAAAGAAAGCAAACACCTTTTCCCAGGCCTTTCCCTGACCCCATCTTTGCAGAGAAAGGGTTTCCAGAGGGCAAAGCCTGGGCCACAGCACAGGTGAGTCCTGAGGGCCCTGCCTATGCTCAGGGGAAGGGGCTCCAGAACCCTGAGCTGTGAGCACCTGGTTCTCTGGACAGTCCCCAGAGGCCATTTCCACAGCCTTCAGCCATGAGCTACCCCAAGGAGCTGGCTGGACAAGGCTCCAGGGCTTCTAGAGTCCTGGCCTGGCCACCTCCCCCAGCTGGCCGTGGAGGGCCACAACCTGGCCTCTGCTGGGCAGCCAGCCCTGGGCCAGCCAGGTCATCCTCTGCAAGCTACCTGCCACCCCCATCAGCCCTCCCTGCACAGGCCTCCCTCTCACAGGTCCCATGCCCCTTTTTCCCAAGCTGGATCAGGTAGGCTGTCACTGCTGGAGGATCCACCCACCCAGCCCAGAAGAGGCCATTGAAACTGAAAGGAACACTGAGATTGTCCAGCAGCTCCGTTCCCCACCTCATCACTCCTGCTCACATGGGGAGACAGGCCTGAGAAGGAAGGGGCATGCCTAGCGTCACAAAGGAAACCTCAGGCTCTGCTTCTGCCTGAGACTCTGCTCAGCACACCCACGGCTGAGAGGAGACATTGGGGGTCATGTGGTGTGGGGGGGCGGGGATGTAGGGAATTGTGGGTTGGGAGCACGGGAAGATCCCTGCACCCACTACCAGGTTTCCTGAATCTGTGCTTCCTGTGACGCCCCTCGCCCTGGGCAGGAACGATGCTGGGAGGAGTCTCCAGGTCAGACCCAGCTTGGAAGCAAGTCCGTCCTCACTGCCTGTCCTTCTGCCATGTAACACCCGCTTCCTGCTCTGCTCCTGGAATCCTCAGGAAGGGGATTTGTGTTTGCCATGACCAGCTAGCCTGAAGGCATAGGACTCCGTAGCCCAGACAGGAATGAGCAGGAGAAACAAGAGTCGGGTGGCCTGGGGAAGGAAGGTGGTCAGCAGGCTGGGGAGAGCCTCTAGGTGATGAAACATTACCCCCCACCCACCCCAAGAGAGTGTCCACCCTCAGAGCTGCCTTCTACCTGACTGCAAAATGCCCACCCTCTCCCTGACTTCCCTCCCCTCACCTCCCTGAGAACAGCTAGAGCCCCCTCCTTCACCTGGCCAGGCCACCAGCTTCTCTTCTGCAAATATTTGTGTCTCTAAAATGCTCCATTTTTATTGTTTCAAGACCCTAACATTTTTAAAAAAAATTTTAATAAAGGGAAAAGAAACTTGCAAATGTTTCTTAAGCATCAACTGTGATTCTGATGAGTTTGGAGTAGCAGGATTAAAACATGTGGAGTGGTTTTCACAGGAATGCTTGGTGCTGAGAGGGGTCAGGATGTATTGGGGATGGGGTGGAGTTTCAGCTTGCGGGGAACTGATAAAAGAGGAGCAACCCTCAGCCCGTCCAGGCCCCTCTTAAGAAGCGGGCTCAGCCAGAAGCAGAAGAGGGTAACACCTCAAGCCCCAGAACCTCACAGTTCCACGAACCACGTGTCTCAGGGACTAGGGGCACCTGGGAGGTTGACAGGGCCATCTAAACACCCTGGGCTGCTGATGAGAGTGGCCTGGGCATTGGGAGGCACAGGTGGGAGCTCCAGCCTGTCACCAGCGATCTGGTGGGGTCTAGGTCAAGTCACTTCCCCTTCCCGGGCCTCAGTTTCCCCATGAAGAAGTTAGGCTAAATTAAATCTATTGCCGAAATCTGGAAGACCCAACAGCATCTGCTGGGGACGTTTGTAGAAATTCAAATTTTAGGGCCCCACCCCAGGTCTATTCATTGCAAACAAGCTTAGGAGCAGGCAGTGAGAGCAAACATTCATTCCAGTACAAGCTTGTGGGAGAGGTGACTCTCGTGATTTCCAGCCCAGAGGGCTGAGCCTAGATTTGCGGCTGCAATTCTGATCCTGACCTCAAGGCTCAATGATCAGGTTCTGTAGAGTTGTGTGTGTGTGTGTGTGTGTGTGTGTGTTTATTTTTTATTTTTTTAAGGCAAGGTCTTACTCTATCACCCAGGTTGGAGTGCAGTGGTTCTATCACAACTCCCTGCAGCCTCAAATTCCTGGCCTCAAGCAATCCTCCTGCCTCAACCTCCCAAGTAGCTGAGACTAAAGGTGTACAAATCCAGCTAATTTTTTATGTTTTGTAGAGATGGGGACTCAATATGTTGCTCAGGCTGGTTTTGAACTCCTGGTCTCAAGTGATCCTCCCACCTCAGCCTCCCAAAGTTCTAGGATTACAGGTGTGAGCCACCATGCCCAGCCCATATATATATATATATATATACACACACACACACACACACGCACACACACACACACACACACGCACACGCACATACACTATATAGTGTTTTCTGTTAAGACCCCAGCTGTTGAAGGATGCTGAACGTTCTACATTTCACAATTCTAAAAGACCAAGATAAGAGTGGAAGTTTCCAGTCCTCCAATTCCCTGTCCATGTTCTTTTCCCTCAGGGGGCTTGGTCCTCTGTCCTCATCTGGGGCTGTGGACGTTTTTTATATTTTCAAATTACAGGATGAAATCTCTTCTTCAGGGCTCCAGCCCCTCCTGTAACAATCTTTCCGTCTCAGACGTTCCCTGCCCCCAGCTCCAATCCTTTGAAATCCCAGCCTCTCTCACACTCTCTGGAGGATTGAGGTGCCTCTCTGGGAAGGAGATTCTGCGGTCAGGTGGGCATCACTCACTCCCTTCTTACAAGCCAAGCTTGGAGAAGTTCACGGAGAAGCTCAGAAACGGGGTGGGGTCACACAGCCAAAGAAGGGCAGTTGGGGCAGAGCCCAAGGGAAAGGTTCCGCTGCGATTGGCCCTCCGGATGCTATGCCAGAGGGAGAGAACAACCCCTTGGCCAGAGCTGAGGGATCCCTGCTGAGTTCTTCCTGTCCCCTCTTCCAGCTGGGCCACACCAGGGCCCTCTCCGCAGACCACCGCCCCCCCAACCCGCTCACTCTAGCCTCATCCTGGCCTGACCGCTCACCATGGCCCTGCATGTCGTTTCCACAACCTGCCACGGGAGGGTGCCAATCAATCAGGAACAGATCGTAGCCAGGCTGGTAAAGGAGCGCATTTCTGAAACTGGGGGACTTGCTGTTCTCTCCTAGCAGGGCTGGAGAGGGGTAGAGGGCAGCGGAGGGCAGGGGAGAGGCTGCCTCAGACGGAAGGACTGCCTCAGACTGAAGGACTACAGTTGCACTGGGGACTTCAGCTGAATGGCCTTCTTAGCCGTGTAGTGCCAGTCTCAGAGGTCCCTGTCCTGGGCCCTTCCTTGCACAGAAGGGAAATGTGACTCAGAGGACCCAAGCCCAGCATCCCTGGTGAGTCACCACGACATGACTTCCTGCCCAGGTGACCTGTGGGGATCACACCTCTCCATTTTCACTTAGAATAAAATTTCTTTTCTCTGTTTTTTTGTTTTGTTTTGTTTTTAAGAAGGGATCCCTTAATAGCTCTGCTGCCCAGACAGGAGGTCAGTGGTGTGATCCCGGCTCACTGCAGCCTCCACCTCCAGGGATCAGGTGATCCTCCCACCTCAGCCTCCTGAGTAACTGGGACTACAGATGCACACCACAACACCCAGCTAATTTTTAAATTATTAGTAGAGACAGAATCTTGCTATGTTGCCCAGACTGGTCTGGAGCTCCAGGGCTCAAGTGATCCTCCTGCCTCAGCCTCCCAAAGTACTGGGATTACAGACTTAAGCCACCCCACCCAGCCCAGAGGAAAATCTCAAGCCATCCTATGTGGACCTTCTAACTCAGGAAATGTGCATCTTATAACAAAAAATAGTAGTGATGAGGATACGGATGATGACGTCATCTTATATTTATGGAGCACCTATTACGTGCCAAACCTTGCTAAGCATTTCAGATGCAGTGTCTCATTTCCTTTGTTTTTCTCTCCTCAGCATAAATCATGACCCATTTTTCTGAATTCCTCTTAGTAACCTCACTTCTCCCTCCTACCCCTGCCACCTTTACAGCTACCGGGCCAGCTAACTTCTAGAAGGAGAAGCTGAGGCTCAAGTTCAAATCATTCAAAATCCATCAGTCTCACCCATTCATTCATTCAATGAATATATATAAAGTACCTACTGCGTGCCTGGTACTGTGCTGGGTGCTGGTGATAAAGACCCTGTCTTGTCCTCCGAGCGTTCAGTCTGCAGTCAATTACAACAATGTGATAAGACCTTCCATGCAGACAGGATCTAGCAAATCCCATCTACAGTGTGCAGGGGTTAGGGAGCTCCTCCTCCAGGACCAGATAGCCAATCTGAGAACTGAAGAGTGTGAGATGTTAATGAGGTGGGTGGGGAGGGGGAGCAAAGGCCTGGAGAAGCTACTCCTGGGGGTATCAGCCCTGGAATTTCTAAGCGTCCTAAGCTGTCATATCCTGGAACATGTGGACTCAGCCCTGGGGTCTGCTGGCTCCCACTCAGTCCCCAACAACTCTACCCTCACCCATAGCCGTAGCCAAACTACCATCTATAAGGCAGAGTGGATCCTCCAGCCAGACTTCCAACTGAAAAGCCTTCTCATAAGTGGGTCTTCTAGTCCTTCCTGTTTTACCCTGCCCACCCTCCCCCGAATCCTCCCAGGCATAGAGTGCTCCCATCTAAGGCCCAGCAGAGATAAGCTGCCCACCTTATCCTGTCTGAACTCCTGATCCTCAGAACCCAGGCATATGATAAAATGGTTGCTTGCTTATGCCTCTGAGGTTGGGGAGGGTTGCTTCATGCAATGGGCAGCTGGAACGGGGTTTATGGTGGCACCTCTCTCCTAGAGTGGGAAGCAGGGAAGTGAGATGGGGAAGAGCAGACAAAAGACTACGCATCCCGTCGCCAACAATGACTGCCACCAATGAGCCTTTAGGCAAGATCCTGTATCTCTCTCTCTCTGTGCCTCAGTTTCCTCATCTTTAAAGGGGGATAATAAAAGTTCCCCTTCTGGTATCATTGTGAGGCTTAAATATGTTAATACATGAGAAAGCCTTCATAATAAGTACTCAATAAAAGCTTTTAAGGTGATTATATATCTTTCATTTATTCACTAAACAAACATCATTTCCTAAGCACTAACTCTGAGCCAGGAACTGTGCCAGGCATTTCACATTAAAAACTTAAATTCATCCTTCTCAGAGCTATCTGAAGTGGGTTCTATTATTATTTCCATTTTTCACAAAGGGGAAATCTGAGGGTCAGAAAGTAAGTGGTGGAATGGGCACTCAAAAACCTTGCCCTCCACCAGGTGGCCACTCCATCCCAGGGGGCCACTCCATCCCAGGGGCCACTCCATCCCAGGGGCTACTCCATCCCAGGGGCCACTCCATCCCAGGCAACCACTTCGTCCCAGGTGGCCACTCCATCCCAGGCGGTCACTCCACGCCAGGCGGCCACTCCATCCCAGGTGGTCACTCTATCCCAGGTGGTCACTATACAGGCGGCCACTCCAGCCCAGGTAGTCACTCCATCGCAGGCGGCCACTCCATCCCAGGCAGTCACTCCATCCCAGGCGACCACTCCATCCCAGGCGACCACTCCATCGCAGGCGGTCACTCCATCACAGGCGGTCACTCCATCCCAGGCGGCCACTCCATCCCAGGTGACCACTCCATCCCAGGCAGTCACTCCATCCCAGGGGCCACTCCATCCCAGGCAGCCACTCCATCCCAGGCGGCCACTCCATCCCAGGTGACCACTCCATCCCAGGGGCCACTCCATCCCAGGCGGTCACTCCATCCCAGGCGGCCACTCCATCCCAGGCGGTCACTCCATCCCAGGTGGCCACTCCATCTTAGGCGGCCACTCCATCCCAGGTGACCACTCCATCGCAGGCATCCACAGGTGCACATCCCACTCAGCCTGAGAAAATGAGCGTCCTAGGGAATCAAGTGTGTCCAGAGTGGCACTTTCATGTCATTGGCTCAGCATTGTCCCTGCATGGCAAAAATGCTTCATCTAGAAAAGGAACTCCAAACAGTCACCCTTACTCAAATTAAATGTCAATAATATCACACAGAGCTACTATTTTCCACCTATCTGATTGACTAAGAGTCAAAAAAAAAAAAAAAGAAAGAAAGAAAATGAAAGCACAGGGCCTTGGCTGGGTAGGGATAAGCCGTCACCTCCCTGCCTTCCTCAGGAGAGGGTGACTTGACCCAACCTCTACAGAAGGTGAGTTGACATCTATTCAAATCACAGTGCACACATCCCCTGACCCAGCAATCCACTGCTAGCGATTTATC